ATAGCAACTACAAAAAATGGGAAATACTGAAGAATAAATCTAACAAAACATATACAAAATCTGTATACTGCAAACAACAAAATACTGATGAAAGAAGTCAAAAAAGAGCTAAATAGATGGTAAAACATACTGTGATCATAGATTTGAAGACTGAACAAAGTAAAGATATTAAAGCTCCCCCAAAGTGACTTGCAGATTTAATGCAATTCTAACCAATATTACAGAGTCCTGTGTAGTGCTGTGGGATAATGCACTGGACCGTAAGGTCAGTTTGAACCACAAAGTGGATGGTTCAAATTCACCAGCCACTCCTTGGAAACCCTATACAGGGTTGCTATTAGTCAGAATCCACTCACAAGCACTTAATAACAATCAATACTCCATTAGGATTTTTTGTAGATATCAACAAACTGACTGTAAAATTTACATTACAAATCAAAGGAACTATAATAAGCAAAACAATTTTGAAAATGAATAAAGTTGGAGGAATTATACTTAAAAGTATACCAAAGTTTAAGACTTAGTATAAAGCCACAGTAATCAAGACAATGTGGTGTGCATCAAAATAGAGGATTTAGAAATAGAATCACACATATCAGGCCAACTGATTTTTAACACAGTGCAATGACAATCAAAAAAGAAAAACTAGTCTCTTAAACAAATGGTGCTTTATTACAGTTGGATACTCATATGCAAAAAGATGAACATCCACCAAAATTTCATACTTTATTAAAAATAAAGTCAAAATATAAGATGCTAAACAATAAAACTTCTAGAAGCAAACACTGCAGAAAATCTTTATGACCTGGGTTACACAAGTTTTCAGATATGACACCAAAAACATAATTCATAAAAGAACTGAACTTCACTAAAATTAAAATTTTTATCTCTTGTTAAAACAGGTGTACCCACATGTACTTCCAGAACACCAGATATGTTTTGTGATAAGGTTTCAGAAGTATAGAGTTCCTAAGTAATGTGAACAGTTCATGTGCTCTGCTGCTAAACCAAAGGTTCAAGATTCCGCTGCCTAGAGGTACCTGGAAAGACAGGCCCGGCAACCTACTTTCAAAAAATCAGTCTTTGAAAATCCTAGGAAGCAGAGTTCTACTACAGAGCTGGAGATAACTTTCGCCATAATAGTGGTTACACAAGTACATTTGTTGTTGATGTCGATGAGTTGGCTTCAACTCATAGCTACTATATATAACTTTGTCAAAATTTATCAATTTATCACTTAAAATTAGTAAATTTCACTATATGTAAATTATGCCTCAGATTTAAAAAGTAAGATCACAAGACAGCAGAGCCTTTTAGTAATGAAAACATATCCTTTGCTCTCCATACTCATAGAAAGATCACAGGCAAGATGTATCATTCATTTAATGTTATTGAAAAATCTGTATCACAATGTGAACCATGGTAAAACAACCAAAAACACTGCTGATAGTTTTTATATCTGCGTCTCCTTCAACTAAAGAATCCAAACAAACAAAACATGTAACAATTTTCTAATTCTGAATATTAGTATTTATTATACATAAAAATGAAGAAACAACATGTTGTTAAGTGCCGTCGAGTTGGTTCCGACCCATAGCAACCCTTTATGGGTTTCCAAGGAGCAGGTGGCCAGCTTGAACCACCAATCTTGCAGTTCAAACCGATTTTGCAGTCTAGCACATTAACCCACAGCGCCACACCAAGACTCCAAGAAACAACATATAGAATCTAATAAATTCTTCCTTATATGTAAGTCTACCTGGTTATTTAAGTTTACCAGGTTCCAGAGAACTGCTATAAACACACACATAAAAAAAATATAAAAAAGTACAAAAAGAGTTAAGATGAAAGCGCTTGTACGCTACACAAAATATAAGAACACTGGTAATTCCAATGACTCTTACATTTAATTTTGCTCCAAAAGAAAGAAACCTGCAAGGAGCAAGAACACAAAGATTATATTTCCTTGAAGCTAGAATTACATCAGTAACACACAGAAGATGCTTCTAATTTTTATCTCATGAAGTTCACTCAAGGGAATAACTACTACCTGGTTAATTCTCCTGAGGAAAGATGTTTTTCTACTTAAATCTCAAAAATAACTAAGTATTTTACCTGTTTTATAACATTAAGCACATTTATTTTTGAAGTATATCTCCATGTTTTTATACTCCAGTAGTAAATCTTTAAAAAACAGAAAACCTGTAGCATAAGCAGTAAGTGAGTACATAACACATTGCCAGGGAGAAAACAGACAGCGTAAGTCATTTTCACGCTCAATAACCACAGCAATATGCAGCTTGCATAGTATAGGCATTTGGTTAGTTCTAAAGCAATGTACTATTTTCTAATTTGTGTTCTATTTTCTAATAAAAAGGAGGCATGGTAGCATAGTGGGCTATGAGTTGGGCTATTAACCTCAAGGTGGGCAGTTCTAATCCACCAGCCACTCCTTGGGAGAAAAATGAAGATGTCTGCTCCAATAAAGATTTACAGTCTTAGAAACCCTATGGAGCCGTTCTATTCTGTCCTACAAGCTCCCTATGAGTCATAATCTACTAGACAGCAATGGGCTTGGTTACATACATACTGCCTTAGGTCCTATTAGGAAAAACAAATACCAGAGATAGGGACCTGCTATAAAGCCACTAAAAGATAGGAATGCAAACAGATATAATAAAATATAATTGTGGTATTATAACAGATTACCAGGCAGCTGTGAGGAGATCATTCTATATGATGCAAATTGCTGATTCCATAAACTAACCAAACTAGTACCACTGAGTCCATTCCAACTCATGGAAATTCTATAAAACACAGGTTAGAAAACTTAAGTCTTGATTGTTGAAGGGCCCAAAAACTATAAAGGTTTCAAGATTAATACAATAAACCAACTCACAGTGATCCTATAGGGCAGGGTTCAACTGCCCCATAGGGTTTCTAAAGCTGTAAATCCGCAGAAGCAGACCTGCCATATCTTTCTACTATGGTTTTAAACCACCAACCTTTGGGTCAGCAGCTCAAAACTTAACCACTGCTTCACCAGGGCTCCTATGAGTAGTATAAGAGGAACCCATTAATCTTACATAAAATACTTTACATGACCCAAAATTAACACTCCACATACTCGTATGTACCCTTACTTACATCCAGGGAACAGCAAATACCCCTATTGTCAGTATACCCACTGCCAACAAGTCAATCCCAACTCAGAGCAACCTATTTAGGGTTTCTGAGACTGTAAATCTTTATGGGAGCACACTTTCTCCTAAGGAGCGTCCACCTTTGGTTAGCAGTTCAACACCTAACCCACAGCACCACCAGGGCTCCGAATGTCAGTATCACTCACTCTCACTAACTGTCATCTAATCAATTTTGACTCATAACAACTCTATGAGTTTTCAAGTACAGGGTTTCCAAAACTGTAAATCTTTACCGGAGCAGGCAGCCTCATCTTTCTCCCAGAGCAGCTGATGGGTCTGAACTAACGAAAAATGCTTAGCTCTCTGCATTAATCATTATCTTTAAACATGTTTGCTCATTCCACCTTCTCATATTTGTCTAACAGTGCACCAATTTCCATATGCCATGTTCCATCTCCATATCCCAAACTAAATCCATTTAACATTTACTTTCTCAAGGCCAACTTGGACTCATGGTGTGGCACTATAGGATAAGCTACCACAAGGTCAACGGTTCAAACCCACCAACTTTCCCTAGGGTATCCTGTACAGGGTCGCTATGAGTTGGAATTTATTCAATGGCACTTGTCAACAAAAAGGCCTACTTCATATCTGAGCTCTCCATCACACTTAATTACTATGCCCTCAAAATGTATACTGTATGAGAAGTATTCTTTGTGCATCTTTCTTAATTTTAATATTTAAAATTAAGTGTATTACTTTCCTTCTTAATTCTAGATTTTTATAAAACTTGGAGTCAAGCAGAACTGGTTTCAACATAACGAACTGGTTTCAACAAAAGGGAAAATTGCTAAACTTTTTGAACCTCAGTTTCCACATCATTAAAATGAGGGCTAAGTTGCATGATGGGTACAAAATACCTAATATGTGAACACAACACACAAACTCATACACATGCATATGAACTCATTTAAATTTATGACTATTATTTTCCTAATTAAGACCAAGAAGATAGATGCAGACTCTTTTGTTTTTACCAAAGTAGCAGCAATCAAATAAAAATAAACTGGGTAGTAATAATGGGATGATTTAATTGATGAAAGGGGGCTCACAAATTTTAAAGGTGCTGTTAACGCAACTCAGGCAAAACATCCTCAGTAGAATTTCTGTTACATAATATGTGTTCCACTCAAACCCATAAAGACAGCCTAGGTACTGTGGTTCTAGGCTAACGGCCCTAATACTGACATCTTTCCTGAGAGCAAGTCTGACGCTGTATTAAGGTCAAGAGAGTAAATAGCTTCTATCTATTATATAAGGTAAATAACACTTATTTCATTCCAATTTTTAATGTGCATCATCTCTCTGGAACAAGCAAACACTTCTGCAAATGTCAGAGTCAGTTGAGAAAGTCTAAATGGGATAGGAGCTTAGTCATCAATTTCAGACAATCAATCGTTGCCACACCCCAGACCTGGAAAAGGAACACCACCGCGACCTTTTCCGTGGACTCACACGCATCCTACACTCAGCCCCTAGCCCAGCCTTAAGTCCCCATCTCCGACACATAGCCTCGGACGCGTGTCCCGGCACTCGGGATTCCCAGTCCCACCTTCAGCTCTGGCTCAGCAGGTACCCCTTCAAAATCTGGTCCCCACACCAGCCTCTCAAATCTCAATCCCGGCTCCTACCACGCCTGACGCCGGCACTCACCCGGGCGGTGACCTTATACACTGTGTAGCCCCTCGGGTGTCGCTGGGGCTCAGTGACAGTGTAGAAACGAGCCAGGTCCACACTCCGCTCCCAGGGAGAGCTCATCCTCCCGCTGCCTCTGCCTCCACCGCCCACTGGGGACCATCAGGGCAGCCCGGAGCAGCCGCGGTCCCGGTTCCCCACGCAGCCACTAAGCGGCGAGGGGGCGGTGGCTCCGCCACGCACTTTGCTTCCGGGTCGGCAGAGAAGCTTCCTGGTCAGGCCGCGTCCCGACGCCAGGAGAACGGGATGTTCCACATTGGATCTGAACCCCGTCTTGACATAAGGATAAGACGTGAGCCAAGTTCACATGGTCGCACAGCCACCCCGTGCGTGCAGAGAGCTAAGGCGCCTTCACTAAGTCTGATTGTGGGCACGCTCAGACACCTTCTAGATTGTGTGAGATCTGTTACAACCGCATCTCGACCCTGCACAAAATCTGGGATCCTGAAGAGACAGAAGAACACCTTCAGCCTGTATCTTTCCTTTCATATTCATGATCTACCATGTTAAATACCCATAGTAATGCCACAACACTCTCACAGACACATATCCCTCTTTCTACCACACCTGTACAGCAAACCCTCATCCCTAAATCAATCACAAAATCCCTCCTCTCAGATTCTAAAATCTGGAGCCTGCGTCTGGCTAGGGGGGCAAAAATTTCAAGAGCTCTCAAAGATAGAATTTCTAGTTTCATGTGGTCCCTCTTCGCTACTTAGCAATTTTTACTGTTCTTGATATGGATTCTTAGTCATTCTGGGTAACAGTCATTTCTAGTCTTCGCCATTTTCCTCAGCCTTCTTCCCCTGTATCTTCCTCCTCTACTCTCAGCCTCCTTTATAATATAGGGAAAGGGGGTGGAAAAGGAGCCCTTAGTACCAATTCTTTAATTTTCTTACATTTTCATTGTGGTTTGAGATGTGAATGTGTTCTTTCCTCATTTTTAAGACATCACTCAACCCTGTGTTCTAAATCCTATCATCTTTTGCCTACTGAAAGACACTGTTTCATCAGTGGCATATCAACTCTTCCTTTAATCACTTATTACTGGCTCCTTATCAGCCTCCCTTTGAAAGCCCATTTCTCTCAGGTGAATTTGGACTCCATAGAACACAGGAGAACTGCCCCATGGTGTTTCCCAGGCTTTAATCTTTATTGAAGTGGACTGCCACATCTTTCTCCCACAGAGTGGCTTATGGGTTCAAACCACCAACCTTTTCAGTCATTTCCAACTCAATTCAGTGTAGAACCGCCCCCACAGGTTTTCCAAGTCTGTAATCTTTACAAAGAAAACCGTCACATCTTTCTCCCATGGCTGGAGGATTCAAACTGACCACCTTTCAGTTACCAGTCCAGCCAGCTGAGAGCTCAACCACTTAGGCACTAGAGTTCCTTCTCCTCAGCCTATATATGCCTAAATCTGTCATTGATTCATTCATTAAATACATCGCCTACTGTGTAACAGCTATTGTACTAAATAGAGCAATATAATCATGTTACAAAATATAACATTGTATATGAAGTAAGATTTTTTTAAAAACTGCTGTTGAGTTGGTTCCAACTCATAGTGACCCAATGAACAACAGAAGGAAACATTGTCACGTCCTGCACCATCCTCATAATTATTGTTATATTGAGTCCATTGCTGCTGCCACTGTGTCAAACCATCTCCTTAACATTCTTGCTATTTTTTGCTGACTCTCCACTTTTCCAAGCATGATGTCCTTCTCCAGAGACTGGTCCTTCAAAACAACATGTTCAAAGTATAAGAGACAAAGTCTTGCCATCCTGGCTTCTAAGGAGAATTCTGGTTGTACTCCTTCCCAGACAGACTTGTTTGTTCTTCTGGTAGTCCTTGATACTTTCACACCATAATTCAAATGCATGGATTTGAATTATGGTCTTCCTTATTCATTGTCCACTTTTTACATGAGTATGAGATTATTGAAAATAACATGACTTGAGTCAGGTGCACCTTAATATTCAAACTAACTTTGTTCTTTAACACTTTAAGAAGGTCTTCTGCAGCAGATCTGCCTAATGTGAATCTGCTGTTTCCATGAATGTTGATTGTGGCACCAAGCAAAATGAAGTCTTTGACAATTTCAATCTTTTCTCATGTTATTTATTGGCCCAGTTGTGAGGATTTTCATTTTCTTTATATTGAGATACAATCCATACTGAAGACTATAGTCTTTGATCTTCACCAGTATTTCAAGTCCTCTTCAATTCTGAGCAAGATTGTGCCATCTAAATATCACAGGTTGTTAATGAATCTTACTCCAATCCTGATGCCATTGTTTTTCATATAATCCAGGTTCTCAGATTATTTGCTCCACATACAGATTGAATAAATATGGTGAAAGAATACAATCCTGATACACACTTTTCCTGATTTTAAATAATTTGGTATCCTGTTGTTCTGGTCTAACAACTGCCTCCTTCTGGTTTATTTACAGGTTCCTCATGAGCACAATTAAGTATTCTGGAATACCCATTCTTTACAATGTTATCCATTCGTTGTTATGATCTACACAGTTAAATGCCTTTGCATAGTCAATAAAGCACAATTAAATTTCTTTCTAGTACTCTGCTTCCAGCCAAGATTCATCGGATGTCAGCAGTGGTATCACTTGTTCCAAGATCTCTTCTGCATACAGCTTGAATTTCTGGCAGTTTCCTGTCAATATACTGCTGCAACCATTTTTTAATTCTCTTCAGCAAAAGTTTACTTACATGTGATAATAATGACATTGTTCTGTGATTTCCACATGGTCACCTTTCTTTGGTATGGATACAAATACAGATTTCTTCCAGTCAATCAGGTAGCTGTCTTCCAAATTTTTGGCATAAACAAGTGAGGACCTCTAGTGCTGCATCAGTTTGTTGAAACATCTCCATTTTTATTCCATCAGTTCCTGGAGCCTTGTTTCTTCACCAATGCGTTCAGTACAGTTTGGAATTCTTCCTTCAATACCATTAGTTCTTGATCATATGGTACCTCTTGAAATGACTGAACATAAACCAATCCTTTTTGATACAGTGACTTTATGTATTTCTTCCATCTTCTTTTTTTTTTTTTTTTCTTCTTCTTCTCTTTTGGTTCATTGATAAACTCATTGTAATCTGGCTTCTCTATTATTTTTCTACTCCGAAATTGCACTGAAAAAAGTTTTGATGACCTCATTTCACCAAATATTTTTAGGCTTAGAATGCTTCTGACCATTTCCTTATTTTCACATATATTCTACGTCCTTAGCACCTGAGTGAACATTATCTCTCTTTTTCCTACTACCCTCCAAACATTTTTAAAGTTTTCTTTACTTGTTTTACCTCTTGACCTTTTTCCTTTTTTACCTTTAATGTTCTTTTTCCTTCAGATTTTCCCTTTAGTCCCTTGTTCTTTTTCCCCAATCTTCAGGCAGATTTCTCCTCTAGAATTTACTCACTCACCTGAATTCCTGCATATTTACCTATGTTTTTGTTGTTATGTGCTGTGGAGTGAGTTCCGACTCATAGCGACCCTGTACAGGGTTTCCAAGGCTGTAAATCTTTACAGGAGCAAAAAGCCTCATCTTTCTCTCGCGGAACAGCTGGCAGTTTCTAACTGCTGACCTTGCGGTTCGCAACCCGATTCATAACCACTATGCTACCAGAGCTCCTTATATTTACCTATACAAGGGTAAATTTAAAAGTATTGCTACTCCTTAAAGGCAAGCAATCTAGTCCCTTCAGGACAAACCCCCATGCAAGACCAAAACTCAAAGGGAACACATGAGCAGGTGTGTAAGCTTGCTGGCAACCACATTGGTCTCCTGCTGAGTAGAAGAGGGGAAAGGCAGCAATAAAGATATGGACTGAGTTCGTCCATATTCCATAGACTCCCATTGATTTGAAGATGAGAAAGAAAAGAGGAAAGGCTTGTTGGTACAAAGTGTGATGAGGCCTGCGGACTCTTGAGCCCATGGACAAGGACATAGGCATAGAGGGCTACAGCTGAGCGTGAAGCATCCAGCTGATATTAAGTGAAGGGAGATGCACAAGAACACCCAAACTTGCAGATAGTACCCATTCAACCTAGCTTCAATGGCTTGATGATCAGAACTTGACTAGAGGAAGTTAAAATTTTTTTTAAATAAAGGAAACATGTAAATTCCTATAATTTGATGAACTTGACCTATTCTTATGGATGTAGTAGCTCAAAATACCAACTGAAAGGGAAGGAGTCTTTACATCAAGGATCAGTCCTATCCTGTCTTTATACAGAGTTGATAGGGACAGGCAAGTTAGACATTGCCTACCTAAAATTGGGGGTAATAAAGGCACAAAGTGACTGGCTAACAAATTTTAAGAGCTAGTTTAGTTCCAAAGTATGCAGGGGAAGGTAGAATCCCCACTGAGTAGTTTTCGTCTTGTCTAGATGGGTCTGGTGAAAAGAGACGGGGATAAGATTCTTATGATTCAATAATGAATAATTGTTATCATGGCTAATTGCAATTGTCATGAGTGTAAAGGTAAAAGTTCTGTAACACAAAGGGGGGGAGTAGCTAATCATACAGTCCAGGAACAGAGGACCCTAGGACCATCGAGGGAGAGGAGCATGAGCAGAATGTGGAACCCTATCCATAGAGCAGCAACACCAGAGATGGAGACAGAACTGAGGGCATGGAGAAAGAGAGCAGCTGAGGATTCTAGACTCATGGAAAGTCTCATGGAAAGACTGTGTGCTGGTGGCCAGGAGACAGACTTGCAGAATGTGCCCTTTGGTTGTTTAAACAATCACATATCCTTGAGTATTTTTGTACTCCTAAAAAAAAAAAACAAAAAAAAAACCAGAGGGAATATAAGCAAATACTATTGAATGATGATGCACAGAGAAGATTGTAATCATTGCAATGAAACGATGAGTGTAAAACCAATGTTCCCCCATACAAACTATCACTCAATTCACAATAAAAACTTAAAAATATATATATATATATATTGCTACTAAGGTTCCAATTCATACATGCACAGGTTTATTTCAAACAAAACATGTTAAAACCTATCTCTGCAATAAGTGG